TACGTTTTGGTCCATAAGTTAGTCAGTGGTTCACGAAATGCTGCAAAAACGCAATTGAAACAGTGGAGGTAAAATAAAAGGAGGACAATTTTTTGCTTACGAGGCACGAGGGAAGAGATTTCCGCTCTCCCTCACCGTACCCGGGAGAGGACCAAAGGACTTCCTTCCTCGACCCAGTTTTCTCTCCAATGGTATAAGAACCTGTGCGAACTGAAAGTGACAGAGATTTTTGATGGACTGTAAGTGTTGTCATTCTCCTTTTTGAATGGAACCGTAACTTAGAAAATGGGCTCAACTTGGAAGACATAGAAGCGGCATTGGACAATGAACTATTTTGGCCGGTTGGTGTCGAACGTTCGTGGTTTTTACAGCGAGATAAACTCCGCTACTCTCACCGGCGCCATCGATGTTGTGGTCGTTCGGCGTGAGGATGGTTCGTTCATTGGTTCTCCGTTCCACGTTAGATTTGGAAAACTTGGCGTTCTCCGTAGTAGAGAGAAAATCGTGAGTTGTTTTATTTACCTTTCATATTCAAATCCTTCTGTTTACATCATTCAGGAAAATATATTGGAATTACTCGATCGATCTCAAGATCGATACGCAGTTCAGTAAACGTAAATATTGGTGAGAAAACAAGACAATCCTCCTGCTAACTGTTCGAGTTTTTTAGCATTAGCAAGGTCACAAATTTCTCTCTTCTGATACTCTTTACTAGCCTATGCCCTCTTAAAAGATTTCTTAATTGTTTTTGCTCAAAACCCAAGTATCCCAAGGGTTAAAGATACAGCTTTTTGGACTGTTAATCGCGTCATCGACTCAATTTGTCGCTTTCCTCAGTATCAGCTATCTGCGAAAGAGTTTGTTGATTATCGTCAGAAAATCGAAGGACTTTTGATTTCACGGTTTCAACTATAAGAATGTAAGATTTGGGATCAAATTTAAGTGCATGGAGAACGCGAAGTACGTTGTACGCTATTGACAATGAATGAATCATTACATGTAGCCTATCTCTCGTCGTCAATCATTCACTCAATCCTTCACTCACGCTTATTTGGCATTATAAACTTACGGCCATTGGAAATTTTATTGTGCAACGTATTTTCATTTCGTAACGTATTATAAAAGCGGAAAAATAGAAGTAAATAATTAAAATATAAAGCAGTGGTAAACATTCTGCAAGTAATATTTTAGAATGTTGGCTGTAAAGCGTCTCAGAAAACCCAACATTTTGTTTTTGTTATTAAGCAATACAGCGAATGTAGATGTTCGTCGGCTGAATTGTATGACTTTATTTTATTTTCACAATTTTTCCCTAATCCTCCTTATTTGCCATGGACGTTTTCCCTTTGTGTTTGCTCAGCTCTAAATCCTTTAAATCTATTGGTTATTGAAATGACACCACCGAGTACACACCCCCAAGAAGTCATTGTCTTCAATGAATAATCGTTGGAATGCTTTGGAGGTCAGTTGTCCATGAAATTTAACAATACAGCAGAAAGTAAACTTGCTTTGTCCTTGTGGTTTTATGAATGCCAAATAATACTTTGGGCAATGTCATAGTAGAAGGAAATATAATATATACAAGGCCATGACGTTTGCAGTCACTGTGACCTTTGCCAGCTTCCTAATTGAGGACATGTTTATTTTGTTTAATCATGAATTAAATCTACCTGATTTACTTTTTAGGGAAGCTTATATAATTATTGGATGAGGCTGAGTATCTTCTGAAGAATTATGGAGATCGAGGAGTAATCGGTCTTGGCAGATAACTCCCTCCAAGATCTCAAAAATTCCTCAGATGATGCAAAAGCCGAATTCAATACTTGTTTTGTTATTCATTCAAAATAATTCCTAGTTTAAAAACAAGCTTATACATGCTTAGCTTACCTTTATGGATGTTAAGTTCATTTTTAATTGACTGTTAATCAGCATGTTTAGGAGATACAATTGTTGTTCAGTATTGCAAATATTCTCGTAATAGCAAATGTCATCCATCGAGTTGTCTTCTTGCTGTTCTTGCTATGCTTTTAGCCAATGGTTTGCTTACTTCTTCCTCATAAAACTAGCCTGTGTAGCAAGCGTTTCTGCGCAACTTCATCAAGAAAGTTGGGACAAGAGCAAAAAAAAAAGAATTACAGGGGGAGGGGAAGGAGGAGGGGAAAGAAGGATCCTCTTCTTCCCTTCCCCTCTCCCTACCACCTTTTTTTTGGCTCCTGCTCTAACTTTCATGCAATAACTCGATTGGAAACACTTGCTACGCAGGCTATCATAAAACGAGTGAAATGTTCTGCCATTTTGTACTCACTACCAAAACAACTCAACCTCAGGTCTTCCCAGGTCTTCTCTGTTAACTGGTCAGTTTTCTGAGAATTATCCTGCCTGACTGATATCATTTTTCACCTATCCCAAAATTCTTCCAAATTTTGTTGACAGTAGCTGGTTTTGATGAATTATGCTGTGGGGTTTTAGCCAGTCAGGAATGGAGAAATATTTTGAATAAATAATAATTATTGTTATACTCTTATAAATATTTATAAACAAGGCTATACCAGCCTGTAAATGGCAATGAATAATCTGGGTGTATATTTCATCCTCCTCTTACAATCATCACAATAAGAATTAAGCAGAGGGTGAGCTACTTTTCTAATCCCATTCATTCTCTTATAATAATTGAAATCCAAACACTGTTTCTCCATATTATATTTTGGTAATCTGCAAATTAATTGATTTAATGTTGCTTTTAAGATGGTTTTGTGGTTTTCTTTTTCTGTTGAACAATTTTCCTCTGCAGAGTTTGGAATATGCAACATAAAGCTGCGTATAGCTGATAAGATCAAAGCACACTGATGACTTGCCTAGACCCTTGCTTATTGGGCAAGTGAACTTGTCCCAAACTACCGGACAGACCTTTTTCTGAGCCCTGTGAATGATCCTTTATGAACAAATAATAATTTTGTTTGTTCTTTTTTTGTGACAGGTTGATATAGAGATCAATGGCGAGCCAGTTGAGCTTCAGATGAAACTTGGTGAGGCTGGTGAAGCTTTCTTTGTTGAAGAAATTGAAAACGATATATCAGACAGTCTAAGCACGTCTCCTCTGCCCTCTGCTGAGACTCTCAAAGATGCCAAAAAAGACCACAGAGCCTCATGTGAGGTAAGCTTTGACGTGCTTTAGAGTTATAGTTTTATAGGTGTGTGATGTCATCCAACGGACAGTATAGATTCAGCGCTGTTACTAGAGAGCTTT